TGGCAGCGGCACCCAGACCTCACTTGCTGCTCAGTCACAGAAGGACCCCCCTTCTGTTCAGTAACAGGTGTAGAGGATGGGGCAGTGGGTATGGAGACGAGTGGAACCACAGAGGATCATCCCCAGGCCCTGAAACCTACTGGAATTTGCCCTACAGGATTTCAACTTTGCATAAAACTAGTGATGCCCTTCTGCCCTCCATTTTCTCCTTTCAGGATGGGAATTTCTGTAACTGTTATACTATGTCTAACCCACCATTATACTTTATGAAGAGGTCATTTGTTTTCTAGTTTCATTGGCCCATGTATGAAAAACGTTTTTGCTTCAGGATGGATCATACCCAAAGTCTCATCTATTTGTTCTTACATGATTTAGGTAACGAGATTTGGAACTTTGACTCTAATGATATTTAAATGAGACTTTGGACTTGAGTTGATACTGTAATGCATTTAGACTTTTGGAAATGACAGGATGGTGTGAGTGTATTTTGTGTTTGGTATAGACATGAATTGAATAGTGGTCCCCAGAGATATCAATCAGCTCCTATGTCCTAGAAACTGTGAATGTTACCTTATTTAGGAAACAAGAAAATAAATATTTGCTGATGTAATTAAACTAAGGATCTTGAGATGAGGAGATGACCCTATATTATCTAAATCCATTCATTCACTCACATCCTTACAAAAGGGAGACAGAGTTTTGACTACGACAGAAGAGAAGCCAAAGGAACTAAGGCCAGAGATTGGGGTGATATAGCTACAGAGGAAGAGATGCTGGCAACCACCAGAACCTGGGAGAGACGATGAACAGATCATCTCCCAAAGTGCCCAGAAGAAGCACAACCACACTGACACTTTGATTTTGGCCTTGTGATACTAATTTGGATTTTCGGCCTTCAAAATTGAGAAAAGAAGTTCAGTTGTTTTAAGCTATGGAGTTTGTGAACATTTTTCTTCAAAAACAAAGCCACGGGGAGGTAATGTAGGTACAGAAAAGAGTAGAATGAGGATTCTTCCACAGAGATTATCACAGTCACATGAGAGCCGAGTGATGTTAAGGGTAATTACAACCCCTTGCAATAACAGTGCATCTACATAAGAAATGTCCAACCCTGTAGTTTATTGGAGCCAAGCTGATGACATATGCTAGCAGCAAGACCTAAAATGCTCTTGAGAATGACAACTTGCAGTTTCTTTTGTGTATTTAAAATTAAGGGGAGAAGGTAAGGAAGATTATGGGAAGGTGGGAGAAAGCCAGGTGGGGATCAGATTACAGCATAGTTAAGACTCTGTGCTCCCTTGAGGGTGGTCATCTTTTAGAAGGAGGGGTCTGAAAGGAGACACTTCAAAGGTGTGTTAACCTAGATGCACAAGAGCAATGGGCAGGGCTGGCTTAGAAACCTTTCACTAAGACCCCACAGCGCAACTACCCACCATGACCTGCCCAATTAAGAATTTATGATTTATCATCCTTTATTGTCCATGGTAGGTACACAAAAGAAAAAAGATAAGTTTCTCCTTGAGTCAAGGTGCATATCATAATTTTTTGCTATAATTACAGGTTAAATACATATTACCTAGAAAAATAAGAAGGTTGTTAAACTAACAAAGGCCAGAAATAAAAGGTAAAGGGGAAATGAAATCAAGTAAAGGGATGTTTAGAAATAGAAAGAAATTCTCTTTGACTGGAGTATGGAATGGATAAAAGAATAGTAATGAAGTAGTAAGATGATCTGAGACCTCATTGTTGATGGCCTTTTATAAGGTACTAAAACATGTAGATTTATTCATGTAAGAAAGGGAAGATTTAATGTAGTAAATCAACAGAGGTTCATGAGACAGAGAAAAGATCAGTTAAAAACAATGGCAACAACCCAGTGGGACAATATGACAAAAGTTACAGAAAGAGGAAAATGAATTCAGGGTTATTTTTTAGGTCAATGCCTGGACTTCTGACCAAATAAGTGTCCGGAATAAGGAAGAATCCACAGGTATTTTTTTCTGCAACAGATGAATGAAAGCCAATGCCATTAACTGAAAAAAATTATAGGAAGAACCTGAGGGCTGTTTACACAATTCATTCATTCACTTAATAAATATTTACCATCCACCTACTGTGTCCAGTCTCTGGTCTAGTGATGTTCAGCTTGGGGTAATTCCAGGACCTTAATAAGGTCAAGCAATACAAGAAGGGTTAGGACGGAAGCAAGTCATTCAGGGAGTGTTTAATTTTTTGTGTTTATTTTCATTTATACATAAATGATTGATTTATTAGTAGTGCGGCAGTGCAGAAAAGGGAGATAATATGTGAAGAGGTGCGATTTTGGAGGGTAGTACATTGCGGAAATAAGGACTGTAAAGACTTGTTAAAACAAGGAGTAAACCAGCTGTCAATAAGAATGGTCTGTCTCCTTGAATACAAATGAAACTTGGAAACTTCTCAGTGGTGGAGAGACTTTGACGTGTTTTGGCTTTAAGGGTACATGACATACCACATGCCTCTCTTCTTCCCTCTCCTCCTATGTTCATTTTTTAGACTTTATCACTGTGTAAAAATGTATGTTGGGTCATTGGTGTGTATGCTCCAATATGTTTACAGGTAAAACATGAGACACTCAGCATAGCACTTCATTAAAAGTTTAGGCTCAAAGTTAACCTAGAAGTTTAAAAACAATTGCATTTGTAATGTATTAACTCATACGGGACAAACATTGATATATTGATATGCTGCGAGGTACTTATTACATTCATATATAATCCAAACACAACTAAAAAATATAACAGCCTAGGCAATAAACCAGAATACTCCTCTTTTTATTCCCACCTATGTGTCCATTGTATAAAAAGGCAGCATACAACAAACAATGATTATTTTGCTTTTCTGCTTGAAAGCCAGCATTATTCTTAGTTCATGGGCACGGTGATTCCTTTATATCAATTACCAGTGAATTCCCAATGCTTCCTAATAAAGGCCATGGCTACATACAAACACCTCACAAATTTGATGTCTCAGTTCAAAAGAAGATACATTGAAATAATGGAGAAACTTTCCACAGCAAGAATTATGTACAGGGTATTTGACATCCATCTTGCACTGTGAATGGTTTGTTTCACGGGTATAAAGTGGTCCTGTTCTTATCCTGAGCAGAGTAACTTCACCGTAACTTCTTGGAGAATACTCCACAGCATTGCTAATCTGTAATTCTGCAGCAAAGCCATTCCTAATAATTAAAGGCTTCCAAAGTACCTGGTACTATATAAAAAGGACTTCTACTCTGCCCAACATTGCTGAAACGGAAATGTTATTGTAATAGGTGGGGAAACTGGTAATTTTCTCACTTTAATGGATGAGAAAAATATTATTAGGTTTTTTAGTAGATGAGGAAATGTACCTGGCAGAGTTGAGATTCAAACTAAACATGCGATTCTTCAACCTGAAAGCCATGCTATTCCCAGCACAGTAAACTACCTCATAAAAACACCACTTGAGATCCCTAAATAATCAAAATATTTATTTGGGAGAAGGTTTGACCCAGATTTAGCTATTTGGAAAAAAACATAATTTTTCTATTGCATACCTATGGGCATTGCCTTTAGTTGGCTTGAAGGAGGCAAGTAAAGGAGAACGTGCTTACTTTAACTAGAGCTATCACTTCTTTGGAATTGAAATTTATTTATTTATTTTTAACCAAGGGATGCACTTCACCATAATATTTAAGCTAAATGAAAACTCATGGCATAGTCACATGCATTTTTTAAATAATAGATTTTTTTCTAAAGTAATTTCTGTGGTTCTCATAAGCATACAAAATTGATGACAAGTATCTTTGTCCTCTCCCTACCTTCTCAAAAACACAAGCAAGGAACTGGTTAACCACTGTCTTCCCCCACTCTCCTGTCTCCTGGACCACCCTGTCTCACATGGCTCTCTGCTCAAACCTCCAATGTCGTCTTCTCTCTTTTTATGCTCTCTGCCAACAAACTTGCTTCTTAAGTAGTGGGGAAACATGACTTTCACAAGCTACTGATTTTTATCTCTATCTCAACCAGTTTTGTTTAACTCTATTTGGTACATATGGAAAGAAAAATGGATGGGGTGCTGCATAAGAGATTGAGTTAACATATAAAGTCATTGAGTGGTGATTCAAACTGGTAAATCAAGAAATAACATTGTTAACATACTACCTAACAACATGGAAGTAAATAGCAAAAGGATCAGCTAAACACTTTGAAATAGTTTCTTCTGCAGACAGGAACTAGTGGGTCTGGAATCATAGGCATAATTTTTTAAACTCTAAGCCTTATCCCATTTAAAAAGAATCTATATGAGAAAAAAATACAACTGAGGGCCCGGCCAGTGTGGGTCAGTTGTTTAGACCATCATCTCATAACTGAAAGGTTGCGGGTTCCATTTCTGGCCAGGACACAAACCTAAGTGGGGAGCTCTGCTCTCTGTCGGGTGCGTACAGAGGGCAACCGTCTGCCCCATCTTTCCTGCACCTCTGTTTCTCTCTCTCCCTGCCTCACTCTCCAAAAAAAAAAAAAAAAAAAAAAGCAATGAAAAAAATGTCTTCAGGTGAGGATTAAAAAAATGCAATTGTAAAATTAAAGACTGGAATAAGGTACACAAAAATTATAATTGCCTGGCAAGATATACTTTTGGATGGTAATTTCACCATGTTTTCTCAACATTTATAAATGTTACTTAATTCAAGTAATGACCAATACATCTTTATGAAGAATACATACATGTCTACTGTAGTCAGGACAAGAGATTACTCTCATTGACCCTTTCACTGGCCTCAACATGCGATGAGAGGGGACAAAAATGTTTCTAGGACTAAAGCAGGTGCCAGCTTTATCGGTAAATTTAATATGTCAAAGAAATTACTTATCAAGGAAGGTTGTCGGCTCGGAAAAAAGAGTGAGCTAGGGAGATGAAAGGCCCCGTTTTTTTTTATCTGCAACCTAAAGATCAGATCTCAGATCATGAAAACTCACCAAGGTAATAAGAATCTTCAAGGGTTGCTTTTGTTTTCTGGGGGTTTTTTTGTAGTCAGCAAGCTGATCTCAGAAGGCAGTCCCTTTGCAGCTCTGAATGACATCCCAGCAGAATCACCAAGAGTTGTTCTTGACAAGGACCACCTCAAGCTCCAGGAAACTGGAGGCCAAGGGCCCCCTGAGGAGGGACAGCACTATACAGAAGGAAGAAGATGCAGAGTTGTAAGACTTGAATTAATGCCAGCTCTGCCACATACTATCTCTTTGGTTTTGTCTACCTTACACATTATTTTCAAAACTTCAGTGTGCCTATAAGCAACCTACAATTTATATACAACTTATGATGTCTTCACCGTAGGATTGTTAAAGGATTCAATAGGCTCATCTGTCCAAAGGGACTACTCTAGTAACTGTTGCATAGTAAGTGCTCAGCAAATATTTGGTTATTGGCCCAAATTGGTACAAAATGAAAGAGCATGTGCACAAAAGTGAATAGTAAAGCTTTACATATGTATCCTACATTACCAGTATTATTATTGATTATTGACAGGGAATGTCTCAGACTAAGAGCCAAAAAGGACTCTGGCAGAGAGAGCCGTACCAGCTGCCAGGAGGCCACTTGAAGTCAAGGACCCAGGCCATAGGGTCCCCAGTGTTTGTGATGTTGGGAAGCACACAGAGCCAGTTCATGGCCTCCTGCCAGGCCTCTGAGTAATTGGCAGAGCACTGAGCAAATGAATCATTATAAGTCAAATTGCTGTAAGTGAGGAACCACCTGTAGTTAAAACAAGTGCCTCATTGAAGTTCTTAGGGCGTGAGAAAACTCAGGGAAAGAGTAAACTCTTTGATGCAAAATATGCAGTCCTTGACCTTGACTTGCAGCACTTTCTAGGAATTCCCTCTTGCCACATCCCTATCTGGTCAAAGCATCTTTTCCAAGCTTCCATTTTGGAGGAAACAGGGATCTGGGCCCATGTGGCAAATATACATGCTACAGCTTTCCCTTCTTTACAACATCATGCATCACTCTAAAAAATCAAAAGGAGAGTTATTTCCATTTAGCTTCATGCATGACCCTTCCTAGAATGCCCTGTCTTAGTTGCTTAGTCTAAGATCTGGGCCATGTAAACACACTCAAACTTCAATTCAGTTTCCTAAACTAAAATATCATCACCATTCACAAAATCTGTTTATTTCCGCTTTCCCTTCAGCTTTGCCTGGGCGATTTTCTCTTTTTAACATTAGAGTTAAACCCTACCTGGATGTTGCCGTACCTTTCCTGACAATCTTCTGTCTCTTCTGTCTTCACTGTTAAAGTTTCACAACTTCACTAGTTCTCTCCGTCCCTCTGCCGGGGCCCAAATCCACCTCACTTTCTCTTACTATTTTTTCATTTCTGTTTCACTGTAAAGCCTTCTGGGCTTCTCTAAAACTTCCCTTCCTTTCCTCTCCTCTCTAAGTTCTGGGCAACATTAGTCTCCCCTTTTCCCAGTGTGATTTTTCTCATGGTGCACTGAGGTTGTAGGCGTCTGGGAGGAATACGATGGGCGTGAAAGATGAAAAGTCATACTGCTCACATCACATCACATCAAGGGGACGTGTTATGAACATGACTTATCACTGGCATTGTTAACCTGGATCACCTGGCAAGGTAGTGTTTGTAGAATTTCTCTACTATAGAGGTATTTGCCCCCTTTCCAAACTCTATTGAGTTTGCATCCAAACTCACTGGATGCAAATCATTAAGTGAAACATATAATCAAAGCATTAAGAGCTAAACTTCATTTCCTTAAGGGAGAAAGTACTGACATATTATCAGGAATTTGTATGAAAAGTTGCCCCATTGTATTCATTTATTCAATAATATATTATTTACATCAGTATATACTCTTGGATAATTATTATATGCTTTGGGTTATAATCCAGTAGCACAGTATTTATAGTGTTATAAATTATTCCATCTTTGGCCCCTGACAGTTCTTTCAGGCTCTTAAGTTAAAGTTCATAATAATCTCCCTCATTTTGTTATTGTAGATAAATGCTTTAACCAACAGCATGCAACATGTTTTTTTTATTTATGCTGAAATTCAAAATATTAATTAACATGTCACGTGGGTCTTGCATTCATTATTTTATCTTGAATCTCATGCCTTTCCTCTGTGCTGACTTGCCTTCTTGCTAATTTTTATCTTTTCACAGTTTCTATATAAAGCCCTACTGGTTGATGAGAAAATTTCTTAGTCTTGGAGATTTTTAAAAATGTCTTTTTTACCTCATTCTGGAAAGTACTATAAAAAGAATAAAACTCAAGGCCTACGATGATTTTCCATGAGTCTTTTAAATATATTAATGCACTATTTTCTGTTATATGTTTATTTTGCTGACAAAAAATTTATAAAGTGCTTATTTGGGTTTGCCTCACTCTGGTGACCATTAAGATAAACTTCATGTTAGAAAGTTGCATTCTAATTCATCTAAGTAAAAATTATTTCTATTAGTTCATATTGATACTCAGAATAAACTTGTGATCTGATGAATTCTGAAAACCTATGGAATATTTTCTCTTCTTGGACCTGCTCTCTACCAATCTCTCTGTTCCCCACTCTGTTGGACCCTTCCCCATTAATGCTAATGTCACTTACCAGCTCTTTCGGTTTGCTGCCCCCTGATGCTGCTGGGGTCTGCAGGAAGGTATCCTCCCCAAATCTGTACATTAAAGTCACAATGCTCCAGGTGATGCTATTAGGAGATGGGGCCTTTGGGAGGTGATTAGGCCCTGAGTGTGAAGCCCTAATAAATGGGATGCGCCCTTATAAAGTGCCTCCCAGTGCTTCCCAGCCCCTTCTTCCACCATATGAGGACAACAGGAAGGTGATGACCCAGGAGAGGGCTCTTATTCAGCTTCACTGGCACCCTGATCTTGGGTGCTAACCTGCAGAACTGAGGGAAGTAAATGCTTGGTGTTTATAAGCCACCCAATTTCTGTCATGGTACTAAGTACTATGTACTAAGTACTCCAGATGTACTAAGACAGATGCACTCCAAAGGAAAGCTTCAGTGCTTTCTTCCTAATCACTATTTTCAACGGTATGCAGTTGGTTGGGTATATTGTCTACATTTTTTATTTTCTGCATATTATGATGTTTTGACATCTTAATAAACTATTCTGGTTGGAAAGAGACTACTCCTCCTAGCGCTAGCCAGTTCTTAGAGATAGAAAGGGCTTCAGCTGGGGAGCAAGCCTGTGACAGGCAAACACGCCAGCCTGAGGCCTCACCTCCTCTGTCTGGCCTGCGCATCACAGGTGGCAATATTCCTCTTCCTTACGCATTCCAGGGCCAGGTACCAGACAGCTAGGGACCACATCTGCATCCCTAAGTCCATCGGTATCATCCAAACTAGATAGTCCTAAACTGTTTACCCCGCACTGCCTTGTACCTTTACTGTGAAAACCCCAATAAAGGCCATGATGTAAAGGCTCCCACGCTTCTGCTCCAGACTAACACCTGCTGTTCCTCCTGCGGTCCCGTGAGTTTAGCTGTGACTGTCATTTCTAGGGCACCTGTGAGTGAGTGAACCAAATTTTTTTTCAATGCCATTGATCTTTCTGTGACATCACTCAGTCACCTCTACAAATTAACACTTGAGCATAGAACAATGAAATTCATTAAAATAGATGTCTATTTTAAAATATTTTTTAAATTCATAATAGTTTGTTTCTAAAAAATATATTGCCTACATTAGCATGTAGAAGATTAATATTATTACTAAGTGAATAAATAAATACTTCTTTGAGTTCTATTTACTATTATGGTAGCTACCAACAGATACGATCACATATTGAGATAAACCAAAGATTTTTCACATCCTCAATAATATTAAAGGAGTAAAGGGACCCTAAAATGCTTGAGATTCCCTGCTTTGTGGAGGATGAAAGTTTATGTTTAATGTTTCAGCAGAAACATGAAGAAAAAGTATAAAGCATTCTACCTTACCTGGGTGTCAAGAAAATATTGACAACCCACACGTTAAAAATATCATCTTAGTACAAAGTATTTGTGGACATTTTTGAAAGAAAAAAAAAGAATTTAACCACGTCTTATATTCTTGTTAACGGAATGTCAATAAACATTAATGGAGTTCTCATTCAAGTCCCTTAGTGTTGGGAAACGACAGAACAGAAAAACAAGTGAGTCTTAATCCCAAAATATGCTCCGTTGCCACAAAAGTAGATGAGTCAGTTTGCCCTTGGCCTCCTTAAATCCTCGTGTTTGCTTACCCATCTCATGGATGAATGAATGTCCGGGAAGGTATTTTCTTCATTGAACGTGTTATTGCTCCTCCACGAGCTTCTTTTCAAGGGAACACTTCTGGAGCAATGAGTCCAGTAATGCCTGTGTTGACTTCCAATGTGTCAAAGAACAAAATGCTTCTGGAAGTTTCAAACTAACACTCACTCCAGGGAGCTGAGTCAACTGCCTCCTCTTGCCTTCACCACTTTGTAGAAATGTTTGCACTTTTGACTTTCTTTTTGACCTAATTGTAAGGGAAGTTCATAGTCGGGGCTTTTGTGCATAACAACACATTTCCTGGCATCGCAGTTCTTCCAAATCTTCATCTCTTTGGTGAGTGAACTATGCAGGGCATGAATGAACCACTTGCGCCCCCATCCCTTTCCCCCCTTTCTTAGACCTCTGGGCAGCAGAAGTGAGATTGTTCACCTGGTAGATCTGAGCCATCGCTGAATTCCCTTTTCAAATGCAGGAGATACTTAATTCATTTGCTGCCTTAAAAGACAACTGGCATACACTCAGTTACATTCTCTTTACTTCTCCCACCAACAAAATAGTTCTCTCCTTTCAAGAAATGTCCCTTTGTAAAAAAAAAAACAAACAAAAAATGCTTTAGTTTTTTGGGGTTTTGTTTTTTCCTTTTGGCTCAAAATAACAAAAATGTATTCTCTCATATCTTGGAGGCCAGAAGTCTAAAAGCCAAGTGTCAATAAGGTCACAGTCCTTCTGAGGGCATCAGGGAAGAATCCTTTCTTGTCTCTTCCAGCTTCTAGTGGCTGCCAGCAATCTGTGGCCTGCCTCGGTTTGTAGCTGCTACATCACTCTGATCTCCACCCTCACATGTCCATCTTCCCTCTGTGTGTGTGTCTTTATCTATGTCTCGTAAGGTCACCATTCGCTGAGTGTGGGGCCCACCCCAATGCTGTATGATCTCATCTTAACTAATTATGTCTGGAACAACCCTCTTTCTAAATAAGGTCACATTCGGTGCTTTTGAATGGTATCTTTTAAAGAAATGAAGAGTCATGGTGTTAGTTTCTGTTGAACCTCTTGACCTTAGCTGCTTGCTATGTGATAATGAATATTCAAAAGAAAACAAACAAAACCCGGAACCAGAAATGCCAGGCGATTGTACAGGTGAAACACATTACAAGTTATGATCGCTGTGCACACGTAAGTGCTTCAGGAACCACCCGAGATTGGAAGTGGGGATGTCATACTCACTATATTACAACGTGTGGTAAGAAAGATAAGAGTTATTATGTTCCCTCAAGCACCAACAGCCACTATCTTATCGTCACTACTTGAATTCTCTTCTGGACATGGGCTCCAGACTGCAAAAGTCTCTATAAAACTGAGTTACCATCATGATTACTTTCATAAGCTAGAATTCTTTCTCTTTTTCTCCAACTTAGACCACGGTCATAACAAATAAATAGAAATGGAATATGTTTGACTTTGTCTCTCTTCACCCGATACTTCTGAGATTGGAGGAATTGATTTAATTGAAATTAATGTCTGCACATTTCTGTTGAGGGGCCATGAGGTCTGATGCTGTGCTAGAGGCTAGGGGCACATGCCTCTGTGGGTAGCGGTCCCCACACTCTGTGATGGCAGGAGGGAGAAAGACGTGCACACAAATGACTTTAATTCCACCAGGGAGCATAAACACCAATGGGACAGACATAGTGCTATTTAACAGTCCTCTGTGCAGTTCACACAGATGTCAGAGGTCATGATCATTAGAAGGTACATCTCTCTTAACCCTTTCGGACCTTCTACTTCACCATCAGCCTTGCCTCCATCTTTAACACCTGGAATGTCTTAAATATTTTGATTCTTCACAGCCATAGTGATTTTCTTTCAACACCTTCTCCCAGGACAAAATCAGAGACACACTTTTTGAGCCAAAATATAAATGGACATGTAGGAGTTCAAACTAAGTTCTCAACAGCTGAAGTGGAATCATCGTCATCGTTGTAGTAATACATTTACTATATATTTACTGTGTACCAAGCACTTCACACATATTTAAACTGTTCATCTTCTGGGGTTGGGAGGCCAGCTCTATTGACTTGATTAGTAAGGTATGTGTTACAATTGTCACACCGTAGCAGATGAGGAAATAGGTCCACAGAGAGTCTATGTAACTTTCCCAGGATCACAGATGTGCCTGAGCTGCTTTACAAACTTGGGTTTTTTGGCTTGTGGCTGCTGTTGCTCTTGGAGGAGTATAGCCAATCACACCGAAAGTCAGCACAAGGTACATCTTCTGCTGTTCCCATGCCTCACAATATGGCGGGGGTTTTGCTCTAACGCTCAGCTCTGACAGTGCTCTAACTACTAAGAGCCCTGTGATCAGTGTCTCTGCACTGCAGGGTTAGGCACAGAGAGGGTGCTGGCAAGCCACCCATCTCTTCTCAGGACACACTGGAGGGGTGTTAGGTGTGCTTCTGTTCCAGAATTTCATGCATCTGCAGTACTTAGTAAGATTAAACAAACTTGGAATAAGAGAACCGCAATGGTGCCTCAGTTTTAACTAATCATAAATGTAAATACCTATAATTAGCATATCAACCCAGATAAAAGGTATTGACCATTTCGATGCAGACCAGCACGAGACGTGAATGGGTAAGTGACACAGGACAGAACAACAGAAAATGCAGTAATTAAATAAATGGTGTGTATTCATTAGTTACTTGAATAACAATTTTCAGAAACAATGTATGATATGAGCTTGATAGCTAGTTTCAGACCAACATATTAACAAGTATTTATTCTTATAATCTTTGATTCAAAAATTATTTAGACTGTGTACCACATGCAAAGAATTGAGCTGCAAACCAGACATAACATAACCATCAAAACAGAGGTGTGTTCATCCAAATTCTATTTTAGGTAACAAAATTCCTGATAAACTAGCATAAACAAAAATAAGGACTTTATTGACACTGCTGGACTCAAGGGCTCTAATGGTATTATCTTTTCTTTGTTTTTTTTCTTTTTTTAAAGATTTTACTTATTTTTAGAGAGGTGGAAAGAAGGGAGAAGGGCAGAGAGGGAAACATTGATGTGTGAGAGAAACGTTGATCCTTGCACACTCCCCCAACTGGGGAGCAGGACCACAGCCCAGGCGTGTGTCCTGACCTGGAATCTGACTGGTGACCTTTTGCTTTGCAGGACAAAGCTCAACCCACTGAGAAACACCCATCAGGGCTCTTTGTTTGTTTGTTTTTCCTTCCTCTTTCTTACTTTCTCATTCATATTCTCTTTCTCACCATCGCTTGGCTTTATTCTTAGTCTTTTTCTATTTTGTGGTATCACTAAGACAAGTGGCAAACAGCAGAGACTGATCAGGTGTTGTTTTCCCCTCTCGTTTTGAGTTCGCAGCTGCTCTATATTCGCCGAGCTGCCCACCTCCACCTTACACCAGGATGGGGCCATATTGATAGTTTTGCCAATGGGCTGCAAGCAGAAATGAGTGTGCCACTTGTAGAACAAGGCAACTAAGAGAAGAACTGTCTACCCTGTCTTTCTTCCATTTCTAAGTCTGCCTTCAAGGTAACATGTAAAGGATGGGGTAACATCACAGAATGGAACAAGTCTGAATTCCTGATTGATTGCATAGACTGCTATCAACTACAAAGAACTGTGATATGAACAAAGAATAAAATTAGCTCATGTAAGACCACTGAGAATTTCAGGGTGTTTTTTTACCACAATCAAATAAACTTCACTTGTGTGAGGTCACTGAGGATTTTGGGTGTCGGTTATAGCAGTAAGACTTCCATTTTTCCATTTTAATATATGGTCTTCATATCACCTGATCATGGAGTATAAGTACACTTGGCTAAAGACTTGGGGAAATGTCCCGAGTGAGACTCCAGTGGGCAGAGCTCTTTCTGGGAACAACAGCTATGGCCAAGTGTATGGGGCAGTCAGAGTTGCCAGGTTGGCATCAAATGCCCAGAACTGTGAGAAGGGGTCAGAAATGGGATCAGCTTTATTCAGACACATGGATTGGGTTTCCCTGGAAAGGTGTGGCTTTATTCTTAGAGAAAGAATGGTTAAGAAGGGTGGCAGACAAATATCAATGAACTTTAAAATGAACAAACCAACATGTTTTGCCTTCTATATGTCAGCTATTGAGGTGGAAAGTGGAGTTACAGAGGTTGACAAAGTCAAGTACGGTTTTGTTTTCAGGGAGCATTTGTTCCGGTGGGGAGGACAGACATAAAAGAAAGAGGGAGGGAGGATGAAGGGAAGGAGGCCAACAATAATTCTGAAATGTCATTCTGAACATGCAAAAAGTACTTGTGTAGAAGGGACCCAACCATTAGTCTCGTCAATGGTCAACGGTCAAACCAAAAACAAGGTTTATGATGGAGAGCGAGGAGGGAACAAAAAATCACGTCATCGTCTCAAGACTTTGTTTTGCATCTGGTGGAGGGTGAATTGTTTGGCTGGAAGCTAGTAAGAGTCCATTTGGGACTGGTTGCCCTGTTGTCCTCTGATCACCAGCATTTTTTAAAAGTTCTTTTTGGACTCTGAAAATGCCGCCAGGTTTAGCTGTGATGTACGAGAGAGGCCGTCTTCCTGCCATGCTGCCTGACTCCCTCCATGGGCGCCTCCACCTTCGGCACCATTTCCCTCATTTGATTTTTTTTTTTTAAGAAAGGTATCTTATGAGCAGATAGATGAATAAAATAATGACCTATCTGCTTAATGCTTTGGCATCAATAAGTTGGGATGTATTAAAAACAGGCTAAAGATTATATAGTTAGTTGTGTTTAGTTATTCACAAGCAACTATTGGAAATTAAAGTCATGAATTAAAAGAATTCTTTCAGATCTCATTCAGCAGTCACCTAAAACATTTGGGCCCAGCTGGCTTGTGCCGTCAAGGGTCTGGTTACCTTTGCGGGCAGATTCCGTGAAGGAACACCTTCTAGAGGAGGATTTTGAACATCCGTTTGAGTTTCATGAGTGACAGAACCACAGCCTCATGCTTTCCGGCACAGCCTCTGGTCTCAAAAGAAATTGAAACCACGCCCCCTTCCCATCCCATACCTGAAGGAAAAGGAGAATCTTGTTTAATCACTTATA